TTTTAGAGAGAGATGCAAGCAATCTGCCTTACAAACTAAGTTGCAGGATGCCTAGTGTGGAGGGAGCTCATTCGGTCTTTGAGCCAAGAGCCAGCTTTTCAGAATCTGCAGAAGCATCAGCAGCCGTTTTATTGCTAATAATCCATGATTTTCTGCCTTGCCATGATCTTCAGTTAGACTACATATATGCAGCTTTTGATTAGCCAATTGTACGCTATAATTTAATGATCCAGCTAATAGTTCTCCCACTTCTCTTTGTAACAAAGTTGTCACAGGTTTTATTTTGGAGGTGCGCTGTGCTTTTTATTGAAAGTAGAAGGCATCCAAAATGCAGAAATGAGCTGACATTTTTATCATAGGCTTTCTGTCAAGCCTCAAAGAATGCCTATGCTGTCTTAGTCATTATTGCTTCTTAGCTTGCCTACAAGCTTGGGGGGGGGGTGAGGTGCTGGGAGAATGGAATGCAACTCTCTGATAAATTCTCTGTGAGAACCAAGAATTCTCCAGATTTGTTTACTGAGAACAAAAGACATTCTCTCATAATAACTGTCTGACTTATAATTGGATAATGTGACCTGCACTATGAGGGGAGGGAGGTTTTTACACTTTTAATATAGCAATTTAGGTGAGAAATAACCAGAGCTGGTTTTCCTTTCGTCCATGCCAAAATGATTTGCTCAATAAAGTTTTGCATTAGAGATTGGATCGTCTCAGCTATGCTTACTACGTTGGGTTCATCAGTTGGAACCTTGACACTTACTAGATATTCAACACTCAAAATCCTAGACCCTTTTGAGAAATAGCAACTCCAGACAAGCCCAATAATTCAAATATGAGTGTGGGAAACCCCAGATTACTGTAACATTCTGGGACTGACAAAACAATTCAAGTAAAACATTGAGAAGTGGTGTTCTTCAGCAATAAACCCAAATGTGTTCCTAGATGAAACACGCACATAATGTACAAGAAATATTTCTATTGTTTCAACAAAATTAAACAAGAATTAATAGTCCGGAAGAAAGGAACGTCCTTTAGTAGGCCCATGCGAGACAATGTTGAAGTGTCTTTAACAGTTTGCATTGGGTAAACTCTTGTGTCCCATCAAGAGGATTATTATTGTAAACAGTATTATTGCCCCAAATTAACAGTGTAACAGCTCTTATCCCAAGACCAACGTTTCTTTTTATTATTAAACACAGAATAGAAAAGAACAGCCAGTTCTTTGAACAGCCAGTCTTCTATAAGAACCTTTGATTCTGTTAAGGTAATGATTTAACAGCTAACCAGCTTGTGTATTGTAAGATGTAATGATGAGAATGACTCAGCAGGGTCTGTGTCTCTTTAAGAGCCTTTGTATAAAGGGAAGGCTCTGCTGATGTGTGTTCTCTCTCTTCTGTTTCCTGCTGTGACTGTGGTTTGTTGGATCCTGCTGTATTAGCACGTGTATGTATATTGTTCCTGGTGTATGATATTGCAGATAGTGTAAGATAAACCACCATTTAATATAGACCACTGTTTACTGTGTTTACTCCTGGGTTATCTTGCACAATAAGACTGTGCACGCTCTAACAGATTCCCTATTTAAAATGTGATTTCCCCTTTATCAACTCGTGCTCCAAAACTAAGGGTTTTTGTCTTGTCAGGTTAACAGTGAAAGGGGTTTTCTGTCAAATGCCAAAATACTGAGAGATCCTAAGGACAATATCATCATGGAGGACCACATTTCTGTTTGTTTCTTTTTCTTTTTCCCATTCCAATTCTTCACTTGGTTTTCTTCTGCGGCTTATAAACTAGCAGAAAATAAAATGACATGATGCCGCACAACAGGGTCTGAATGAACCAACAAAGCTGAGTCTTGCTGTCCGTGATGCCTTTCTTACTGCGAGGGAAAGAGAGGAAAAGGACACTTGTATTTATTTAGTGGGATAATAGTTCAAGCTTAAATAAAGATGTGGGAGGTTCTGCACATATTCCACAATCAGAAAAACAAAGTCGCTCACCTCCTTCCCGATTGTTTGTGGTGTGGAACCCAATTTCCAGTTACTAAACCTGTTTTTGGATCTGAATATAAATCTGGAGGAAGATTCTTTTACTTGTTCTTCTTATTCTGCACTGAAAATTGCACTGGTGATGTTACCTAGTTTGGTAATGAAACTTCTGCCAAGCAAGCTCAGAGAGCATCAAGGACCCCACAGTTGTTGTTGTCGTCATCCTCCTCCTCTTCCTCCTCCTCTTCTTCCTCCTCCTCCTCCTTTCTGCAAACCTCATTCCCTTCTAGCACTGATGTTACTGTTCTGTCCCCGTCGGACACACACACCCAAACAGCCAGCCGAGGGTTAAAGAACTTCTCCACACTCCAATTCACAGATAAGAAAACTTGGCAGCAGCTCCGTAGCTGCCTGCCAAGACTTTTACTCAGAGAACAAAAAACAATACACACAGTTAGAAAATTAAGTCCACAGCAAACTACTTCACCAGAGATTCAGCTTTGTCCGTCACAGAGTCCAAATGGCCACCACCTCCCTTTTATAGCCTGTGGGGTGTGGTCCAGTGACTCAGCTTAATCTCTGGCACGTCTCCCTTTCTGCTGCGCACGCTTGTCGCTCCTACGCTGGCGTGGATCCAGCCACAACTTCTCTTCCTCACTATCCGAGGCCTGGCCATCTCCTCTCCTTCATGTTCGGAGCCTTCTTCCTCCGATAAGAGGGGCTCACAAGACGGAGCCACAACAGTTACCTAGTTTGGTAACATCTGCAAGAAAACCACCAAGGACCCCAACAGTCGTTGTCTTCTGCTCCTTCTTGTATAACTTAACTTCTCACCCTACCGTCGGTATGTCTTCAGATCAATTTGTTTGGGTTGGACTGCATTTAATTATTGGTTAGCAACCCACAGAGAATCAACAGGGGTGTGAATGTGTTCTTCTGCAACAAGAACACTCTGGGTTGGGCAATTAATTGCTTCTATCGGCTCAGATAAAGGATTAGAAGGAAATGAACTCTGAGATCCTATCTACGAATATCATGTGGCAAAGGAGGGTTGTGAAATCGCACAAAAGCATCTTCTGCGTTTTGCACACTCCACCCTCTATTGAGTAAGATGTCTCCTCCAGAGGAACCCGTCAAGCAGGAAAGCTTTGGCTGTCCTAAACTGAGGTCAGCTCCCTGTTGTTTCATACCTGGACCATCTCCATGTAACACTGGCCCATTTTAGACTTTATTTCAACCTATTTGGTTTACAGCTCCACAATGAAAGGACAGGTAGTCCTCGACTTATAACAGTCCATTTAGAGACTGAAGTTACAACAGACCTGAAAAAAGTGACTTACGACCCTTTTTTCACACTTACGACCATTGCTGCATTCATTGTGGTCGTAGGTTGGGGACTACCTTGTAACGAGGAATAGAAAATCATATTATTTCTGAATATGTTCCAGCTGTCTAACGCCACGATTAACGTGGGAGTCCTTTCTGCAAGCTTTTAGATGCGGGAGGCAGTGTCCCTCACTCGTACACCAAACAAGACAGACACACACTTCGAGGGATAGTTAGGACTGCAGGGAAAAAAACACACACAATTGCTACCAGCCTGCCTTCCACAGAGGACCGGTATACTGCATGAGTCAAAAAGAGGGCTGTGAAAATATCTACAGAGCCCTCACATCCTGGACATAAATCTGTTTCAACTTCCTCCCTCAAGACGATACCATAGGGCATTGCACAACAACTAGACACAAGGACATTCCCCACCACCACCCCAGGCTATCCCTCTGCTAAACAACTAATTCTCACAACACTAGGATGTCAAACCACCTAGTAGTAGGACTGTATTACTATTATCCTTCTCATCTTTCCTACTACCTATTTCCTTGGCTTCTTATGACCATAACTATTTGAATCTGATCATTGATGTTGATTGCTCATTTAGTATCCTATGATTATCACTGAGTGTTGTATCTTACGATTTATGGTGATTGTGTTTTATGACTGTGATCGTGATTTATCCCTTGTGGCTTCTATGTAGATTAAGAGCTTATGCACCAGAGACAAAGTCCTTGTGTGTCCAATCACACTTGGCCAATGAAGAATTCTATTCTATTCTATTCTATTCTATTCTATTCTATTCTATTCTATTCTACTCTACTCTACTCTACTCTACTCTTATTCTATTCTATTTTTATTTCTATTATGTATTGTATTCTGCATTCTATTCTATGTTGTATTCTGCATTCTACTCTACTCCACTCCACTCCACTCCACTCCACTCCACTCTACTCTTATTCTATTCTATTTTTATTTCTATTATGTATTGTATTCTGCATTCTATTCTATTCTATGTTGTATTCTGCATTCTACTCTACTCTACTCTACTCTACTCTACTCTACTCTACTCCACTCCACCACTCCACTCCACTCCACTCCATTCCTATTCCATCCTATCCTATTCTATTTTTCTATTTCTATTTCTATTCACAAAGAGTATTCCTAGATGTAGAAAACTACCATGCCAACACAACTGAAACTCTGCCACCATCAACTCCTGAAGAAGAAGTTAGGAGAACTTACTTGCATAACCAGATACTCAAGAATGCTTCTCCGATATGAAGTAACCAAGACACCAGATATCTGTAATTAAGACAAACAACACAAGAATAAATTAGACATCAGTTCAAATAAAGGGAAAGGCCAAAACCCTCTCTTGTGTCTCAATAATTCAGGGGGGGGGGTGATGAAGTGCTTCAAATTCACAAACAAAGAAGGGCCGCAGAGGGTTTTCCAGCAACACTTTTAAAAACAAGTCGCAACTTTTCCTGGACTTGTGCAGCCTCAGGAAAGGACACTCTGGTTTTAAGGCTGTATGAAGCATATACGTGTTCCTTCCTCTTATTCTTTCACCTCCAAATTGAGTTGATTGCCCTGCTAATAGATATAGTTGTGTTGTATGATATGTCTGTGAGAACTTCCCAGCTGATTTGGATGTTGTTTTAAGGAAAAACAACTCTTAAAGCCAAAATATACTGGGAGCTGAGTTCTACCCCTATGTCTCTTTTTGCATTTTTTTTTTCATTGCATTCTCCACCATCTATAATAAGCCCTTTGATGGAGTCACCCACTGTTGGCTGATGGGTTACCTAGAACAAAGCTCACGGTCTCAAATATCTACACTAAGTTGGCAAGTGTATTTTCCACCATCTACCCCAGAAGTCTTCTACAGGAGCATTCTTCAGACCGAAGCATTCCTAAGTTTGATTCCTCAACTTCGATGTCCAGAATTTGGTCTTGCTTGAGGCCGAATTGGCAAAGATTCTAGAGTTCCTTTCTCTTCTGGTCTACTCTGACTTTGGAATTTGCCTTGTTATTCAGTCTAGGGTCAATGAAAACGTTTAGTCAACTGGGGGCATCAGTTAAGGGAAGGGAAGGAAGGGGTTGAGAAGGAAGAAGGCCGGAGAGGGGATAGGAGGGGAAAAAAAGAAGAGAAGGGGAGGTTTGTGTCCCAGGCTTGTGCAAAACATCTCTGGGATCTGTCCACATTTTGTGGTACTCAGGAAACCATCCTGAGTTTGGTTTCTGACGACTTCCAAAACGCCATGTTTGGTCCTAGAAGTGTAATTTCTATGTTCTGTGTTGGGATGGCTTGATCTCGGAACATCGTCCTGGGAGAAATCTTTGATTTCCATCATTCCCCATAACCCTGGTCTTTCCAAAACTGGGTTTCAAAACCCAGAAGTCAAGAAATTGCTAAGAGTTCTGAGAGTTGCAATAAACAACCTCTGGAAGTTGGTAAACACTGCCCCAAACTTATCAAAGCCCAGCTTTCTCTTGACAAAAGTAGTCAGTGTTCTCATTTGTCTTCTTGTAACAGGAAAGTTCATTGTGTTGCTGTCTGGTCAACTAAGGTCATGCCTATCTGGTCAACTAAGGTCAGCATTAAATTGGCATTCGATAAGATTTAACAGAATTCAAGAGGACTGGACATAGACCATTATTTATGGGAACGTAATGACTCCAGGCTGATAGCTCTCTTGACTCCATCTCCGGGCTCTGCCTGTCCTTCTCCTACCCCACCCTTCCAAAAACGTTGTCCTCTGCAGCAAGACAAGCTGTCTGAAGATGCACATTACTTGTGTAATGCCTGCCTGTTTCCCAACCATATGGAAACCAAGTTTCCTGCATATCCATATAAACATCTGGCTTGTATGAGCCGTGGTGGCGCAATGGCTAGAATGCAGTATATTGCAGATGAACTCTGCCCACAGCCTGAAGTTCAATCCTGACAAGCTCGAGGTTGACTCAGCCTTCCATCCTTCTGAGGTCAATTAAATAAGGAGCCAGATTGTTGGGGGCGATAGGCTGACTGTTAAACCGCTTAGAGAAGGTTGTAAAGCACTATGAAGTGATATATAAGTTTAAGCGCTATTGCTATTGCTATTGTCTAAACAGCCCCTAAACAGTCCCCAAGTGTTGAAGTCAACTTACACTACATGGAAAAGAGTTTTGTGGTTCTCCTGCAGATATTTTGTGAATCTTCCCAATGGACCCAGACCATCATAGGGGATTATTGAAGGCGCAAAGATAGCACACTAGAGAATAAAAAGAGAAGGCCCATAAGCATCACACAAGCAACTTCTCAACAGATGGTTCCAACTTGCACACCTGTTCCCTTTTCAATCACCTTGCCATCTTCACAACCAAATTTACAGCGTACAAAGGAAAGAGGTTCTGCTGTTATGGAAAGTATAACTTGTACGTAATTGTACAAACCAAGAAAACTAAAAAAAAAAAGGACACGGTTGTTCCGTGAGTCACACGGTCCTCTCATTTTGAAAAACGAAACAAAAAAACCCCTTGAGATTGTCTCCTCTTTTCCCTATGTGGTAAGTCACACACACACACACACACACACACACACCCGAGAAAGAAATATTTTTGGAAATATTTAAAAGGCAAATATATATTTCCCTAAAGGATTTTAAAAGCAGAAACCAACCCCACCCCCAAGTGTCCCAAACAGAAACCAAGTCTGCAGAAATGCAGATGTGACAATCTTGTCAGAAAAAAATTGGACTCAGGAAGCTGGGATTAGGAAGACAAAGATCCCTAGAATCAACAATCCCTCACACCAAAAAATCCAACAGTCATCAGCCCCAGCCCCAGGGAAGCAGGATGTGACCTTTGGGACATAATAGGGTTAACCCACCACCACCAGAATACCAGAAAGGCACACTCAGACTCAGGTCCAAATTCATGCCACAGGAACAACTCCAAACACAAAAGCCCAAGAAGGTACAAAACCCTACTCCCTACATGTGCTCACTCTCTTCTCTTTTCTTCCAGCGCCATCTTCCAGTCTGGCTCTCCTTTTTAATAAACTGCAACCTTCTTTCTTAAAGCAGCCTCCACGTTGTTTATTCCCGGCTTGGACTGGACTCTGATGAAGACTTTTCCTTCAACACCTGCAATCCCTACCCTGCCCCCTTGCCCCCCCCCACGTTGCACACGATGGGGGGTTCTTCTGGGGAGAAACCCCCCCGCTTTGTCTGCCCCCCCTCCCCAGGGAAAGTAGCAGGTGGGGAAGGGAGGGGAAAGGCTGGTGCGCATCTCTCCAAAGGATATTGCGCTTTGCCGCCCACCTGCCTGCTCGCCAGCCCGGCTCCTTCCTTCCTTCCTTCCTTCCCTCCCTCCTTCCTTCCCTTTCTTTCTCCCTCCCTTCTTCCTCTCCTTACGCCGTAGTAGAGCATGGCGGCCACGATCACCACCACGAAAAACGGCCGCGTCCTTCGGAAGTAGGTGGCCGGGTTGTCGGAACGCGCAGCGGATGCAGACTGGCAAGCCATTTTCCGCGGCTGGCTCTAGCCCGACGCTGCCCGCGCGGCGGAGAAAAAAGCGCTGCTTGCCGGGCCGGCCCACAGAGGAGGGACCGCGATGCGCGGGGCTCCGCCTCTGCCTCCCGCGGAATGGGTGGCAAGCGGCGGCGGCTGGCGCGGGCGAGGAGGGAGAGCGGAGCGCACGGGGGAAGGCGCCGCTCTGGGGCCGCTTTGGCACGGCGGGGATGGCTCCGCTCTTGCTCTCCAGAGAGGGCTTCAGGAAGGGCTTTAGGGGCTTTTGAGTTGTTTTCTTTTTTGGGGGGGGGAGTCCCTTTATTTATTATTATTATTATTATTATTATTATTATTATTATTATTAATTGTATTTATATCCCGCCCTTCTCCTTTCGGACTCAGGGCGGCTGACAAATGATAAAAAGCTAACATATTACACCTAGTTAAAATTTAATTAAAATGAAATATTTAAGAATGTCAAATTTAAAAGTAATTAAAACCCCTATAAAATCCCCTAGGCCAGTCCCGCTTGCTGGAACAACCACGTCTTGAGGGCGCGGCGGAAGGAAGGGAGATCAGGAATCACCCTGATCTCTGGGGGCAGTTCGTTATTTGTTTTTGTTTTTTGTTTATTATTTGCTTACTTATTTATTTGCTTATTTTTTTGTTTGCTTATTTGCCTATTGTAATAATAAACATTTTTAATAGATAGATACCAGAGATAGACAGAAAGACCGACAAAGATATAGGATGTGGATGGATGGATGGATGGATGGATGGATGGATGGATAGATAAAATGATAGATAGATTAGATAGACAAATGATAGCTAGATAGACAGATTTATTAAATAGACACATGATGGATGGATGGATGGATGGATGGATGGATGGATGGATGGATGGATGGATGGAGAGAGAGAGAGAGAGAGATGGAGATATAGATGATTATGATAGATAGATGGATAGATAGAGAGAGAGAGAGAGACAGACAGACAGACAGACAGATGATAGGTAGATAGATTTATTAAATAGACACATGATAGATGGATGGATGGATGGATAGATAGACACATGATTGATTGATAGATAGATAGATAGATAGATAGATAGATAGATAGATAGATAGATAGATATAGATTAGATAGACAAATGATAGATAAATTTATTAGACACATGATAGATAGATAGATAGATAGATAGATAGATAGATAGATAGCGATTAGATAAAATGATAGATATAAATAGATTAGATAGACAAATGATAGATATAGATTAGATAGACAAATGTTAGGTAGATAGATTTATTAAATAGACACATGATAGATGGATAGATGGATGGATGGAAGGATGGATGGATGGATGGAGAGAGAGAGAGAGATGGAGATATAGATAGATGATTATGATAGATAGATAGATAGATAGACAGACAGACAGACAGACAGACAGACAGACAGACAGACAGATGATAGGTAGATAGATTTATTAAATAGACACTGGATGGATGGATGGATGGATAGATAGACACATGATTGATAGATAGATAGATAGATAGATAGATAGATAGATAGATAGATAGATAGATATAGATTAGATAGACAAATGATAGACAAATGATAAATTTATTAGACACATGATAGATAGATAGATAGATAGATAGATAGATAGATAGATAGATAGATAGATAGATAGATAGATAGATAGTGATTAGATAAAATGATAGATATAAATAGATTAGATAGACAAATGATAGATATAGATTAGATAGACAATTGTTAGGTAGATAGATTTATTAGATAGACACATGATGGATGGATGGATGGAGGGAGGGAGGGAGGGAGGGAGGGAGGGAGGGACGGACAGACAGACAGACAGACAGACAGACAAATGATAGACAGACAGATTTATTAGATAAGACACATGGGTTGGATAGTGGATGAAAGTGACTGGTTCAAGTTCCCTCAGTTGGCTTTCATGGCTAAGGTAGGACTTGAACACAAGGCCTCCTTAACCACTAGACCAATTGTGACCTATTGGTCATACTTTTCTGTCTGGGGTGAGGGATCAAACTGACCTTAGCAGCACTCTCCCCTTTTTCCGTGTGTGTGTGTGTGTGTGTGTGTGTGTGTGTTTGCGTGTCAAAATGCTGCATTATTTTTGAATCAAACAATAAAACATAGACCTCAAAAAAAAAAAAGTAGAAGAAAGGATAAGAAAAAAGAGTGTGGAAAGTTAAAAAAAAGAGAGAAGAAAAAAAGAGCTGAGATAACAAAAGTCAGAAATAGAAGTGAGTTGTGACTTTCCTTGCAACAGAAATGAACAAAGGTGTGTTATCCAACCTTCTTCGTCTTACACAAATCCCTTGAGTCCTTGTTTTTTTGTTCCTTTTCAGTCCTCAAACTTATAATCATGGCTACACTTTTCGCTGTTTTCAGCCAAAAAGCCCATTAGAGTTTTCCATTCTTATAAAAAAAAAATACCTATTGTTTTATTCCAGACCCAAAGAGGTCAGATTCGCCATTCCTGACACTTTTGAAGTCATTCCTCCATTGTAAAAATTTAAGCATGTAAAACTCTTCCTTGTAGTTTCCACGAAAATTTGCTCTCATTTTCCTGGACAAATTAAAATGAATTTTGAGGGGAAACTGAATCTAGAGCCATCGTCTGTTGGATGGATGGCGATTTCCTGCTACGATGTGGCATTTATGTTAGTTAAGATTGATAATTTTACCCATTTTTAACCAAATTTGACCTTTCTAGCTTTTTCAAAATGGAAATGCTTTTGGGGAGAGGAAAGATGCCTCATCTGCCAGCTGGGCAAATAAAATAAGAAAAGAGGATAAAAGCGTGTGGTTTGTTGGGAATGTTTATTTCCTGTTCCAACAAGAGCATTAATTTTTATTTGCCGTTGGGGAAATTCACCTTGGCACAGATTCGCTTCTCATTTTGCAAGTTTCACTCTTGCAGATTTGGAGCTGAAGACGATTGCCTTGGCCATGAGATAGATTTAAGGCTTTAAATCTGCAGTTTCAGAAAATTTTGAATTTCTCCTGATAGAAAGAAAGCAGCAAGGGTAAAAAAAAAAAAGGCCTGCCTATTTTCAGAAACGAACACCAGAGGGCAGACCTTTCTTTAAAAAAACGTTTTTGGGCCAGCCAGTTCTTTAAAAGTGCAAACAGGAATAGTTTTGTTTTAATCTATTGGAACAACAACAAAAAAAGTGTGTCCCCCCCTTCCCTTCTAAACCAGGGGTCTCCAACCTTGGCAACTTTAAGACTTGTGGACTTCAACTCCCAGAATTCCACAGCCAGCTTGTTGCTAAGCGAGACATTTGTTAAGCGAATTTTGCCCCATTTTACAACCTTGCCGTGAAGCTAGTAACTCGGTTGTTAAGTGAATTTGACTTCCCCCGTTGACTTTGCTGGTCAGAAGGTCACAAAAGGCGATCACGTGACCCCAGAGGGGGGGACACTGCGACCGTCATAAATACGAGTCAGTGGCCAAGGGTCTGAATTTTGATCACCTGGCCCTGGGGGTGCTGCATGCAACGGTCGTAAGTGTGAGAAAAATGGTCATACGTTCCTTTTCTCAACGATGTTGTAGCTTTGAAGAGTCACTAAATGAACTGTCGTACGTTGTACTTTTTTTTTTCTCCCTAGTGGAATCGTTTGTTTTTCAAGCAACATCCCAAAAGGAATCCTGAATCATCCCAAACTATAAAATCCATGATTTGCGTTAAGATTTCACAAATTACAAGCCAGTTATAAAGGGCTGTCCAGGACAAAAGCTTATATTATAATATACTTGATAGTCCTCAGGGTGCTGTGGGACTCCTAATTTATTTGTAGAAACCTTTAATGGGGAGAACTCCTGATTTCCTAACGAACATTGGCAAAATACAGGCAGTCATCTTTTACTGTAATCAATACTCTCTTTTTTTGTGACTCCTCTCAAAGTAGGAATGAAAACACTGGGTTAGAATCCATATCATCCCAAATTGTAATTATAACGCTCTAAGTTGAATTGTGTTATTGCAGCAGCCTATCAAGTTATCTGCTGACTCCTGGAGACCGCAGATACAAATCTTGGCAGGTTGTTTTACAAATTTTTAAAGATGACTTGGAAGAGAGAGAGAGAAAGAGAGAGAGAAAGAGAGAGAGAGAGAGAGAGAGAGAGAGAGAGAGAGAGAGAACCACTGGCCTCCAAGACTTTTATATCCGAAGCAAAATTAACTCCGTTTCCTGACTTATGATCCAATGCTTTTAATCTGTCCACAAAACTGGCACCCTAATCAAATAAATTTGAGTTAATAAGTTGAGATGTTTGCCCAGGTATTTAATAACAACTCCATCAGTTACTGTCTTTTGGATGAAAAACCAGCATTGGAGGAGGAGGAGGAGGAGAAGGAGGAGGAAGAGGAGGAAGAGGAAGAGGAGGAGGAGAGGAGGAGGAGAGGAGAAGGGTTAATTACAAATTTCTGGCTACTTTTGAGCTACATGGAATGCTTTTATCTGCTGAGGGGGGGTCACACTGTTAATCATTAATATATTTTCAGGGTTTGAGGTATGAGAATCCCTATTGCCCAGGGCCTCCTTCTCTGCAGATCGTAGCTATCTGACAAATGCAGAAGTTAGCTGAGGAAAAGCCCAGACTGATTTATTTGTGCCATCTTTCCACAACTTGAGCTTCCACCGTGTTAGCAAATCCTAAAAATTTCCATCTGCGTAGCCCTCCGCCTCTCGTTATCTCTAAAGGATGCATTGAGACATGGATCTCCATGTCTGTCTAATCAAGGATTTAGTGCTACTCAGAGGTCTCTTCTGACTGTTAACAGCACCTGGATCCCTCTTGAGGGTTTTGAGTGACTCGAAGTGCCCTTTTTGTCAAAGACACGCCCCGACAAGCAGAGATGCTTGACACAAAAACTGGAGAAGCTGGACATGGCTCAGACCTAGTCTACATCAGTGAGTCATCTTTTGCACATTTCACTCCTCAGTGGACCAAGATATTTCCAGAGCAACTGGGCCAATTGT